ATTAAGATGTGCATTGCCGGGCATCGCCTAATGCGCCTGACGAATCTATCGAGTCTTCAGTCCAGTCGACAACCTGAAAACATAACAAGTAGAATCACCTTGGTGGAGGCCTGCGTCGTCATCGCCGCCGTGCACCCGTCACCGACTGTCACCGCGCAGGAGATCTTATCCCCCTGCATGAACAGAACGCACTCTCAGTGAAGAGGCAACACTTGGCTTCCCTCCTGTCTGCAGGTACCAGTTGGTCTACCAAAAATGGAATCGGAGAGGCTCACGGAGACGATGCCGCCGCCGTAGGTGAGGACGTACAGCCAGACGGCGCCGGAGGAGGCGGGGCCCACCTGCCACATGGCGAGGTCAGTTGAGCGAGCCAATCTACCTCCTCTCTGGGCGAGGGAGCGGCAAAGGAGGTAGGTACCTTGGAGGGGACGATGATCTTGAGCGGATACTTAGCGAAGCACCGGGTGACCGCCGACCTTCCCCTCACCTTCTCCACCCGCACCACGCCCGTCGGCGTCGCCTCGGCCGCCGTCGCCGGCCCTCCGTCGGCGACCGCATCCAATTCCATTCCACAGGCGGAGGCCCTGTCAGACGAGTCAACCCAAAAAATCGAAGTTTGGGTCATTGAGGGAGCAGGTTTGTATCGTCTCGCATCGGCCTCGCTACTAATGGGCCGACCCAAGTTGCTTCCTTCAGGTTAGTTTTTTTCTCTGTTTTTGTATTCATGCATTTTTTCATATTTTTTAAAACATTCTCTGTACATATATTTCAAAACTTAAATATACTAAAAGTATAAAAACCATGATTTTGATTTTTTTAATGCGGTGAAAAAATTGTTAGCAAAATTCAGAAAATGTGTATAGCATTCCAAAAAATATTGCTACATTTAAAAAATGTTTATGCATTTAAAACATTGTTAGTATAATTAAAAAAATACAATCATACATTTCAAAAATGGAAGTTAATATTAAAAAAATATTACATATTTATATACCCAACCTATTTAAAATTTTATACAATGTACACAAAAAGTTCGGGTCGTTCAAAGGAAGTGTTTCGTACCATTGAGAAAAAAATGTTTCAATGTGTATTCGAATAATGTATGACACATATCTGAAAAAAATGTTCAAAACCCTGAATTTGATAAAATGTTAATCATGTATTTGAAAAATGATAAATGTCTATATAAATAATATTTAAAATGTATATGAAAAACATATAACATGTATTTAAAAACTAGACAACAAAAAATTATTTTGATAATTTTAAGTTTGTATTTCAAAAATGTTAAACATGTATAAAAATGTTCGCGGTGTATATAAAAATGTACAATGTGTATAAAAAGGTATACATGTGCTAAATAAAAATAAAAGACCCAAATAAAACCATTCAAAAAAGAAGAAAGAACCAAAAAAACGAAGAAGACGAGAAGCCAGAACAACCCCGAAAGAAACCGATTTTAAACAGTGAAACCCCGATAAAGAAAACCAGAGAGAAGAAAAAACTAACGCGAGAGCTTTGGTTTGGGCAGACACAGTGGAGCCGGCCCAGAGGTGACCGGGTTAAGTCTCGCAATAGGAGAGAAATATCCCTGGTGCCATTTTCTTTTCCAGCCATTAGATGATTAGGAATTTTGAAGAAAAAACTTGCAATTATTTTGACACGACTTAGCAGTGCAAGCCCGTGGTGTTTTCTTTTACCGGAATCATTAGTTTGTTATCAAGTGAGCATCCCTTAAAGGTAAGCATGGGACTGCTTGCTAGTAATATGTTTTTTTGTACCACCATCAGTTTCTTATTCATTTTTTTCTTCAACTTTTTAACTAGGTTTTTCTTGTTTTGTACATTTTCAAGTTTTAGTGTTTCATCCTGATTTTTTTCTCGCTTAAGATAACTATTGAGAAATTAGTAGCTACTTTCGACATAAAATGTAATTACGTTAGAGTTTTAGTACAAGAATTCCTAGGATTGAGCACGTGTTACAAAAATAACGATTAACATCCAGATATCAAATACTCCGTCCGATCCAAAATAAGTGTCGCAGTTCTGAACCAAAGTTAGTTCAAACTTAGTTCAAAATTGTGACACTTATTATGGACTGGAGGGAATAGAGTTTATCATCAAATGTATTGTATAATTTTTTTGTGAGGCAACATGTCTGCGTCGAGATTTGATGGCTAAATGCCAAAGTACCATCTTGAAGTCGTCTCATGACTTAAAAGGCTTGCACTTTAGATTGGAGTAAGTAGACAACAATACAAAAAGAATGACTATGCAATGGTTAATGAGCGCAATATACATCAATTTAGAGGTGTGCATACACAATTATGAGTATTCCATAAAAAAAACATATAAAAATCAGTTAAAATGCAATACAAAACAATGAGAAAATATACTAGAAACACTGCAATGCACGCTAGTCCGAGAATATAGTACACGATAGTACAAAAAATGTAGCACATTGCACACATAAGCATAAAATTGCCATACACAACAATTTTAAAGAGTGCAATACATAGTCTAGAGACACTAGAACACTTGCTAGTGTAACATGTGCAATACATAAACTTCGTTTGGATGTTGACACTGAGGGGCATGGAATTGAATTGGTTCCAATACCAAATGACCCATAACATTATTGATAATTGAACCTAAATTATGTTGTTTGTATGGTCAAGCAATTGTCACTTGGAATTCAGAGCAGACACTCACTTGATGCTTTTTTGGACGATCAATGTCCAAATTGAAATTACTCGTTTACAATAGAATGGGTATTGTACTTTGTTGAAATGTTTGAAACTAAACTATGTGAATATATTTGGGGTGTGTTTGGTTTATGCGCAAAGTTGCCCCAGCAAAGCATTGACTAGCCAAAATTTCGGTTGCCCATGATTTGGCCAACATTGGCAAGAAAAATAAACTAGAGTTGGCTAGAGTTTGGTGATACGTCTCCAACGTATCTATAATTTTTTATTGTTTCATGCTATTATATTATCTGTTTTGGATGTTTAATGGGCTTTAATATATCTTTTTATATTATTTTTTGGACTAACCTATTAACCAAAGGTCCAGTGCAAATTGTTGTTTTTTTCCTATTGCAGTGTTTCGCAGAAAAGGAATATCAAACGAAATCCAAACGGAATGAAACCTTCGGGAGAATTATTTTTGGAACAAACGTGATTCAGTGGACTTGGAGTGGACGTCAAGAAAGAAGCGAGGAGGCCACGAGGCAGGGAGGCGCGCCCCCCACCCTCGTGGGCCCCTCGCAGCTCCACCGACGTACTTCTTCCTCTTATATGTACCCATATACCCCAAAACATCCAGGAGCACCACAATACCATATTTCCACCGCCGCAACCTTCTGTACCCGTGAGATCCCATCTTGGGGCCTTTTTCGGCGCTCTGCCGGAGGGGGAATCGATCACGGAGGGCTTCTACATCAATATCATAGCCTCTCCGATGATGTGTGAGTAGTTTACCACGGACCTTTGGGTCCATAGTTATTAGCTAGATGGCTTCTTCTCTCTCTTTGGATCTCAATACAAAGTTCTCCTTGATTCTCTTGGAGATCTATTCGATGTAATTCTACTTGCGGTGTGTTTGTCGAGATCCGATGAATTGTGGGTTTATGATCAAGATTATCTATAAACAATATTTGATTCTTTTCTAAAATCTTTTATGCATGATTTATATATCTTTACAAGTCTCTTCGAATTATCAGTTTGGTTTGGTCTACTAGATTGATCTTTCTTGCAATGGGAGAAGTGCTTAGCTTTGGGTTCAATCTTGCGGTGTCCTTTCTCAGTGACAGCAGGGGAAACAAGGCACGTATTGTATTGTTGTCATCGAGGATAAAAAGATGGGGTTTATACCATATTGCTTGAGTTTATCCCTCTACACCATGTCATCTTGCCTAATGCGTTACTCTGTTCTTATGAACTTAATACTCTAAATGCATGCTGGATAGCGGTCGATGTGTGGAGTAATAGTAGTAGATGCAGAATCATTTTGGTCTACTTGTCGCGGATGTGATGCCTATATACATGATCATGCTTAGATATTCTCATAACTATGCGCTTTTCTATCAATTGCTTGACAGTAATTTGTTCACCCACCGTAGAATTTGCTATCTTGAGAGAAGCCACTAGTGAAACCTATGGCCCCGGGGTCTATCTTCCATCATATTATTTTTCTATCAACTTGCTATTTCTATTTTGCAATCTTTTTTCCAATCTATACACCAAAAATACGAAAAATATTTATCTTATTATTTTTATCAGATCTCACTTTCGTAAGTGACCGCGAAGGGATTGACAACCCCTTTATCGCGTTGGTTGCGAGGTTCTTGTTTGTTTGTGCAGGTACGAGGGACTTGCGTGTAGTCTCTTACTGAATTGATACCTTGGTTCTCAAAAACTGAGGGACATACTTACGCTACTGTGCTGCATCACCCTTTCCTCTTCAAGGGAAAACCAACGCAAGCTCAAGAGGTAGCAAGAAGGATTTCTGGCGCCGTTGCCGGGGAGGTTGCACCAAGTCAAGTCAAGATTTGATCTCCCGTCAACAAGCCATTTCTGGCGCCGTTGCCGGGGAGATCTACACACAAGTCAAGACATACCAAGTACCCATCACAAAATCTTATCTCTTGCATTACATTATTTGCCATTTGCCTCTCATTTTCCTCTCCCCAACTTCACCCTTGCTATTCTATTCGCCCTCTTTTTCGTCCGCCTCTTTTCCGCCCGTCTCTTTTTGCTTGCTTCTTGTATGTCCGTGTGTTAGGTCATTGGTTTTTGCTATCATGGCTAGTCCTTTTTCTGCTCCTTTGTCTCCGAGTTTGGAGTTCTTCACTTCAAACAAAGACAAGGAGAAAACTTAAAAGATGCTTGGTATAGGATGATGGAATCTTATCGTAATTGCACCTTAGAGGTGAGTTTTAGAATTTTACTTGGTAATTTTTATGTTGGACTAAATATGTCCCATAGACAACTCTTGGACTGCGTTGCCAAAGAAAATTTTATCGAAATTGATCCCAGTATTGCTCATGAAATCATAGAGGGAATAGTGGAAACACTACCTCAACAAAAGGGGCCACATCATAACCAGGAAGAGACACAAGTTTTTTGAGAAGATTTGCTGTAACATCCCAAATTTTCAATTTGGAATGTTATACACTAGGTCATCATTGCATATCATATTTATTGCATTTTGGTTGATCCTAGAAATTTCACGCAACTCAAGGACCCTCGGAGAGAGTTGGGGATTTTGTTATTTTCATATTTGAGTTGTCTCAAATTTTGAAAATAGGATCTTTTGATTTTATTTATTTTATCTTCAATTATTTCTATTACAAAAATATGAGAGAGGGAATAAAATGAATTTCCCAAAATAAAGAAATATTGAGGATTTAATAAAAAAATCAAATAAGATTTATTTTGGTTTTATTTGTTATTTTATTTGAATTTAGGAAAAATGTGCGTTTTTTCCAAATTGCATTTAGGCCCCAAATAAATGATCATCCTGTGCGGCTTGATTTTAGAAGCCGGGTAAATTTTATTTCGGGATTTTTGGAGTCCGTTTAGTATTCCTTTTGTTTTTTTCTAAGCGTAACTATTTATAAAAAAAC